TTAAAATGCTGTGCAAACTTTCCCTAATGAATATGGAAGTGCTAAATGGATATTAGGAAGGTAAGAGAAATGGAGCAGGGAACGAAGTGAGGAACAAGTTAAGGAAATAGATTTGCTAGAAGCCATGACTATAATCTCCCAAACATGCTGAGGCAAACTATGCTTAAATAATTGTATTCTGTTTTAGGAAGCTGTCATGTTGCAGTAATGTATAAAAAGTCTGCTAGAGTCCAAGATGTCCCTGGTTTCAGCAGTGTCTTTATTTGGAGAAGTGAAGTTCATGTGAGTGACACCTGCTAAATGGAGGATTTTGGTTGCTAATACAACCAATGCAGTGGTTTTGTTGCTAATTATATTTACACTTCCACTACATATTCCATGAGTGGCAGATGCTTGTGTAGGAGACGGATGATTGACTAGCTGATGTTGGCAGAGGAAGAAATTAGCAGTTTCCAGAGATGAGGACAGTAGTGTAAGATTTGGGGAATGAGGCAAACTTCTTACGCATTGTAGGATTGAGACTCTTTACTTCTGTCCTTCCTCCTTTGTGTCTGAGGTGGCTTTACGTTTCTTGAAATTAAATCTTTGTTTCTTGTTCCAGTAACACTTAGCTGCCCCCATCGCCCCATTGTCTGCCATTTTACCTGACAAAATTGGCCATTTCTTTTTAAATAATTGGCAATTAAATACTGCCATTTAATCTCCAATATTTAGGCTTCAGAGGTACTGTCATGATCATTAAAAGGTGGTTTATGCTTACAGCATTTGTTTCAAATTGTTTGCAGATTTAGAAAGATAGTGTTCAGTTCATATCTGGGAGATTTCTTCAGGGTACATATTGGAAACATATTGAATCACAGAGGACATGGGGTGTGAAGCCTAAGGTTCAGAGCTTAATGGCTGTTGCCTCCCATGAATGGCTGATATTAAATATCTTGATTTTATTTAATGATAGCACTTTCATGAAACCTTAAGATTTAACTTCTGTGGTTTTTAATGAAACTCTTAATATCCCAGTACAGATAATCTTTTCCCACAAAGTTAACCTCTGTCTTCACAGCTTATGTTCTGTACATATAGGGGCTTGCTGATTTTCATCCCTCTGATTCTGTAAAATGCAATCATTGTGAAGTGCGGTGACTTAATATGTAGCCTATTCAGTAAAGCCCCGAGGAATATCCCCGTGATAGAAGCAGCAAGCGAGTAATGTAATTACTGGAGCAATGGTACCTAGAAAGATGAAGCGTCATGCATCAAGTGCTAATCAATTCAATCTTGAGTTACAGACTTGAAGAAAAACACTGCTCTGATGCAGTTTGTTTGAACCGAGAGCAAATTAATGTAGTTACCATGGAATCATGCTGCTGCCAGTACCTGTGTTTCCAATTTTGTGGAAATGGTACTTCTTGGTATGAGAAGGGATGATCGCTTGCATGTTTCCTGCTGCTTTCTTCATCTATTCCGATTTATAGACTAGCAACTTCACTGGATATTACCTTCCTCTTTCCTTAGGTACAATATAATTCCATGCCTGGAATTTAGCAACTTCATACACCAGTCAAAACAAACACAAGTAAATCTGCTGGCTGGACCGGCAGGATTCACCCTGGGGTTTTTCAACTGTCCTTACCTTAACATCCTGAATTCTGCCATTTTTGCCTTTCTTTGTCCTGGTGGCCAGTACCAAAAGTTACTGATGGTAATGACTGACCAATCATTCAGTCCTTCTTCTTGCCCATGCGGGGTTGTTTTGTACAAGTGCAATAATACTCCAGTGCTTTGACTAGTCAAGTACTACATGAATGGATCATTAAGGTTTCCATCATTACCTTTATGAGGACAGTTCACAGTTTAATGGACCATGTGATCAGTTTGTATTGATTTTTGCATGCTTTGTCTTAAACTTTTGAAAACCTAAAACATCTTGAACCATCCTATAGCGCTATCCACTATGCACTTGCCTAGAGTGAAGTTTCATGCAGATTAAAAAATGAAACTTACACAGTAATTAATCAAACCTGACCTGTTGGTTTCAGGTTTTACCATGGAATTGAGGTTGGTGGGCTTACTAAACTGAACAGCACTAACTAAAAGCTGGGCTGGATCTTCAATCTATGTAAATCATCATAGCTCCATTAAAGTCATTGGAATTATGGTCATTTGAATCACTGGGGGGATCTGGCTGGATATATTTATTATTAATGGCCTTGTTGCAACTGACTAAAAGCCTCAGTTTTCCATAAAGAGTACATTTATCATAAGACAGAGTTGCCTTTTATCATAAAAATGAAAACTTGAACACTATTTTGTATGCATCTTTAAATTAGAAACCCTTCATTGTGATTTTATTAGTTATAAAGCTTTTTTTCTTTTTTTTACTAGCCCCACAACACAAATTGGATTGCCATCTGATTTTCAACTTTATAAATTACTTTAGCAAGTGTGACTTCAGCAAAAAATATCTTTTTGGTTTTGCTTGGATACCGTACACTATTGTGCATCAGCTATGATATGCCCTGCTGTGCATACAAGAGTTTATCAGTAATGTTTCTATTCGCTGTCATATTAATTTTATTGTCTTCTGAATACAATCTTTCATTTTGTGCAACTGTGGTCCACCTCCTGAAGTCCCATTACTGGAAAACCAGCCAGCTAGTCCTCTTTTTTTGCATGTCAGTTAAGTTATTACAAACCCAATTGCTAAAAATGACATATATTATCGGTGCAAAATACAACATATACCTCAGTGACTTTCTCTGTTTTATAGAAGTGTTTTAATTGCATTGTAATTTTATTATATCCAAATAGGACAGAAGCCCAGAAGCTATTTGAATACCACCACATCTTTTAAGGACCCCAGAGCATGTTGAGGGTAGTATTATATGCAGGACTACATTTTCATTAGGCATCTGACCTAAAACATTTTTAATCTGTGAAATGACTTCAATAGAAAAAGGCTATGGATCAGGTCCGAAATAGGCATATAAAAAGCATATGCTTTGCTGTATAGAGGTTTCTTAGCAATGCCCAATATTAAGGGGTCAATACACCTTGCAAACAAAGCCTTTTGCACTGGATCATAAGTTTACAGATGAATGGAGTATGACATTTGTCTATTTTACAGCAAAAATTCTTGGAGACATCAGCTTTATAAACATAATTCAGATCCATGCTTTATTAATATTAGCTTCTTGCCCCAAGCCAACAGTGTATAAAATACATTTGTAGTGGGAAATTGTGCTGTACCAAAAGCTATGATTTTTCTCCCAGTTAGCCATGGAAATGAGAAAACTATATAGAGATATCCCATCATTAATCTCATATAATCCCAGATCCAGAGGTCACTGATCCATTCTGACCTGGAGAACATATTTTGTAAAATTCATTACCTGTGGGAAGAGTTCTGCAGAAGGTGAACACAAAGGTAATATGTGGAGTGTTTCACAACATAAAGTCCACATTGCTGTCAGACCAATACACACATTCCATTATTAAAATAATCAACCAGGATAAAAAAATGATATTATAGATATAGCTATAAGATTTGTGGTCCATCAGTAATTGCAGTTATTAACAGTCAACTCACCATTTTCAGTCAATGAAAAAGAAATCCTTTGTTTCTGTAAGTTTGTAAATATACAAGTTTATATATTTTTTGTGGAAATGAGTAGTTGGCGGGTCCAACACCAAGATTTGTCTTGTGAATGTTGCTTTTGATTTAATTACTGCATGTTGAAATGTTGAGTTTTTCCTGATGAGCGTTGTTTTGTGATTGTTTACTACTGGTATTACTGTGCATGTAAAAAAAAAAAAAAAATCGCAATAAAAAAGCCGCAAAAGAAAAGTCTTTCTTTTTTAATGGTTCACTTCCTAACATTTCAGCTCAGCGTTCCTCTTTGTATTAAATTGTGTTTGGTTAATAATATTGGAGTGTGTTGTCTCTGTGTCTGACTTTACTTCTTTCTATTAATGTTAAGAGTAACTGGGCGCATCTACATGTGCCCCTGACTGTCCACTTGGTACTGAAGTACTAAATGACTCCGCAGTACACACCGGTACTATGCAGTCCCAGTGGTGCATGATTATTTTTAGAGGTTTCATTGCTACAGCGATGTAGCGTCTCATGTAGATGCACCCACTGAGGATTTAAGGCTTGATCCAGCTTCATTGGACAATGGAAAATTATCCATCAGCTTTAGTGGAAGCAGAACAGCATCTGTAAGCCCTTGTCTATGAAGGAAGCCATGTATGGTTTAACAAAGGGAGCATTTCTTCTGTTGATATAAGCCTTGTCCACATGGGAAAGTTATACAATTATAACCAAAACTGTGAATTTCAACTGGGTAAAATGGATGCAAACCTCTGTCTGGAAATTCATCTAGATCAGAGTGGCCTTTTTCTATTTAGTATAAATTTAATCTCAAACATCTGCTAAATTTGAATAAACCATCTTTAACCTGAGGGGTATCTATATGACATTTATACTGGCTTAAACAGAGCATTTTAAAAATGGGTTCATCAAAACTGATGCATTTCCCATGTAGACAAATGCATTGTACTGGAAACAAGCTCTGGGTGAATATATATATCCCTGTTCTGTTTCAACTCTGGCTTGAAGCAATTTACTAAATCAATTCCTTGCCTGCATAAGCTAAATAAATATAAAAAAGGATTGAACTAGTTTAAGGCCTAGCCCATACTTGCACAATTGTACTAAGTTAATTAACAATGTGGCTTAAAATCGGCTTAATTGATCAGCTTAGTGCAGTTCGACATGTGGATTGGGTATGTGTTTATGTCTGTAATACAATAGTTTAGCTTTCACAGGTAAATTTATGGCTTCAAGCTAAATCAATATCATGCCTTTTAAACTGCTATAAGAAGCATCATACCCAAAAAATGCACTGATTTAAAATCAGAATTACAGTAAAGAAGCATATTTTTGGCGTGTGAACTTACCTTAGGAAGGTTTGCAAAATAATTTTTCACATACAAATAAATAGGTTTTCAAATGCAGGTTTATTTACTCAGTGCAAATTGCATAGGGTAATCACTCCAGGGAACCAATGGTGCCGCATCAGTTAACACCAACTGAGGATCTGAGCCAGGGTTTATATATAATGAAGCTCAGATGACATGCTTAGCTATAGAACTGCTAAAGGTGAATTCTTCATAAATTAGCCTCACTTGCCTGCTTTCTGTATGAACAGCAGCGGCCATGTCCTGAGCTGCCTTTTCTCAGCCGTAGGTGGGTTGGTGATGGGTATCTTAGTTTATAACTGCAGCTGGGAAGCTCAGCAGAGCTGGGGGGGGAGGGCGGGTATAGGGATGAAGTAGCATTCTGCAAGTCAGGGCGTATTACAAATCACTCCAAGGGACTGAAATCCACTCCAGTATTTGGTTGCTTCAAGAAGATCTGCTTATAAAACCTGCTGGGGAAGATGCTGCCAAGCCTCTTGGAGCTAGCTCATATTAAGCATAAGGTACCTGGCCACCCTTTTCCTCCTTCAACAATTGCTTAAATTCACAGTCCAACTGCTCCTCCCAGTCTGACACTGCTGGGCAAGGAGATCAGCTAGCTTGCTGGGGCTCATGCTTGCAAATACTTGGGTTCATCAGGCCTGAGCTTCATGAGCTTATCCACGCAGAGCAAGATGAGAGTCAGAAACCAGAGACTCCAGCCAACAGCAGCTGCGATCCAGCCGTACTCGTCTACCCCAAGCTGGCAGCACTTGGCCGCCTGTGGGCAGAAGTCCATATCTGATAGCAGAGAAAGCAGAATGAGGCATACAGGACATTTAATACTTAGCAGGCTTCTCTTTGCTAAGGGACAGCAGGGGGTGAGGAGAGTGACTTCTGTACACTTTGTCCAGGCCCAAAGGCTGGGTCATGGCTGAAAGTATACTGGCCCTTCAAGGGTAACCATTACTGAAAGTAACCATGTTGGTTGGAAAGAAATGGTTGTGGGCAGCTGGTCAGGAGTACAGCTTTCAGGCACTGGTATGTTCAAATTGGCGCTCAGTTTGGTTTATTAATAAAGTTAACCTGCTCCTGAAAGCTGGTTGTGGCTCTTCTACTGAACCCACAACCACTGCAATGGTGAAAGCTTTGACTTTGACTAGTTTCTCTTCATTTTACTCCCATGTCCCTTGGCACCTCATGCCACAGGTAGCTATGCACTGGCCACCTGCTGTATGCCAGCTGAATCCTGAGAGTGGTGGGAAACTCTTCCTAACTCTAAAAACAAGAGGAGGACAATGGACCAAACTGCCTAGGGAAATTGTTGGCTTGTCTTCGCTGAAGGTTTTTGGGAAGGGTCTGGATAGACATCTATCTGGGATGGCCTAGGAACAGTGAGTCCCATATCTGTGCAGGGTGTTTGATTAGATAACCCTCAAGGTCCCTTCCAACCCCCTGACTCTGATTGTTCTTGCAGCTCCACAGATTGGAGTAAAAGTAGATGCTTCCAGAAAAAAAACAGGGTAAGTAAGGCAGGCAAATTTCAAGTCACTAGGAGTACAGCAGTGCAGAGGAAAATCTGATTGAAATGAAAGGCCTGCAGAAATATTTTTGGGGTGGTCTAATAAAAGATACTACATTTACCCAAAGAACTGTGTCTGCAGGCATGTTTGGCACCTGAGAAAGAGAGCTTTCAGCATTTGAAAGAACCTCAGCTTAGTTAAACTTAGCGTGTTTGCGGGGAGCCTGGTATCTGGGGCATGAAGGGCTCTTTCAGAAGTGTCTCCACACTCAACACATTTGCTCTGGAGGGGCCCAGTCCACTGGCAAGCCTAAAGAAAGAGTAAAGGGGAGGGGAGGGAGGGGAAAAGGGAGAGTTGTGCATATGAAAAGGGAAATGCGAAGCCTGAGCTATGCTTTCATTCCTGATCCATGAAACCTGTGAACGTGGCTCAACATCTCTGGAGGCACTGGATCTGAGAGCCAACCTAATATTTGGGTGAATTCAAGATTGTAGTGGAACCTTTCACAGAACTTGACCCATCACTTAAGCTTTCACACAACTGCATTGTAACAGTAAGTCCCACTTTAGGGCATCCTTTCAATGACCTTTTATATATGCTCACTGCTTGGCTTCAGAGTGGTAGGAATGAATCAAAGAAGTCTTACGAGGACATTGTGCTGGGATCCTGCTTCCTATGTAGTCCACCAGGGAGCCATTGGAGCTTCCTTTAGCCTCTGGCAGGAGAGAACACAGGACAAAAGGTACTTGCATTGGAAAAGGAAAAACTAGTCTTGGCCACAAGCTGGACACAGGCCTTGCTCTTGAGTATTCGATTGCTTGCACGGCCAATCTGATGGAGACCCTCTTCTGCTGGGATAAACTGAGTAAATATGTCTTTATGGTGGCTGAGGCAAAATGTTAACACGTGGGGGCTGAAGGGGCTGCCACCATAGGTGCTGGCTTTGCCTGTACACATTGACTACTTGCTCTAAAACTACAGTTAATGAAAAAGAGAGTTGGTGCTTGTTAGGCATTGCTAGTACTGCAAGAGCCTATTTCTGTTAAAGCCAAAAAACCCCCAAAAGTTTATTCTACTTTTTAAAGTGGGATACATGGTGCTTTGCCAGGGGGAATGTGCCTACATTTTTATAATTGTGACAGAGCCTCTGACTGGTCAATACACTTGAGTAATGAGGCATGGCCGCACATAGATCTCGGTGTCAACACTCTTCCTCAGGAATGACCATGCAGAGACATGTCAGGTGCAGGGGCATACACAGAACTATTTTGCAAGTAAAGGGGTACAGTACACGGCCATAAAAATGTTGAAAGCCACTTTTCTAGGATGTGGGCTCCTCAGTTCACTTTGTCACATATAACCATTTTCAGTTACAGGCTTAGAAAGAAATGTTTGTTCTTTCTTAAGGCTGAACGTGATTTGTAATTGTTTCTTTTTTTCTTGTCCTATCATGCATTATACAAACATGGTTAGTCAGTTCCTGTCCTTAAGAGTTAGCAGTATAAAAATGGACAAGATGATAAAGGCTGGATAAAAATATAGTCACATTGTTATACATGGGAACCTAAGCCCAGGAAGCTTAAATTTAAAAATTTTCAAGGAGCTGGTGAGGGCCTTTTAAAATCCCAACCTCAATAACTTTCTAAAAGTTGTGCTGAAAGGCTGACAGAGCTTGGAACTGAGCCCACATCTCCTAAATCTCAGTCGTATGCCTTAATCACAAAAAATAACCTTTTCCAGTGCTGATTAGGTATGCTGTTATCTTTTCAGAAATAAAGAATCCGCAAAACTTGGCCTTACAAGGAACAGAGGAAATCAATGTCATGTCAGGTTATACTTCCCACTCATAATTACTAGCTTGTGTCTCATCTTTTATTTTAAACCATTTGACTTTTTAGAGAGCTGGAAATTCTGTCCTTTCCTCCAGGCATCTCACCCCCCCCCCCCCCC